CCCAGCATCTAACCTCAAGAGCAGCAGCATGCATCTGTGCACCCCAGCATCTAACCTCAAGAGCAGCAGCATGCATCTGTGCACCCCAGGCTCTAACCTTAAGAGCAGCAGCACACATCTGTGCACCCCAGCATCTAACCTCAAGAACAGCAGCATGCATCTGTGCACCCCAGCATCCAGCCCAGTGCGGTCACTTGCCAGGTGACTGGCAGAGGCGTGTGAGTGAATGGATGAGGCCTTGCAAAGGGGATGGTACTGGCAAGGATCCCGCAGGGAAGCGTTCCTGCTCGTTGTTGTGAACACACTGGCACCTCTGCAGAGGACTCGGCACCACAATAGAACCAATGAAAGGGTCAGACATACCAAACACGTCATCCAGCTCATTGTCCACTTTCTGCTGGACTTCTGGGTTGGAACCCAAAAGGTGTAAGGACCAGTTTATCGCAGCTGCAGTTGTGTCGTGGCCCTACAAACGGAGAAAACAGTAGCTTAAAAAGCAGAGGTAGCCTGCGATGATTGGCAGTGACCAGAAACCGCTTCTGAATTGTCTCTGGATTTGACGGCTGCACTGTGATTGAAGAACATAATTAATTCTGTGCAGCACCTTACCTCGGTGATAAACAAGCAAACAATTCCTGAAAAGTGGAGGTTCATGCCTGGAGATGACAGCTCCACGCCGCTCAGTGGAGTGTGCACACTCATGGGACGTGCCTGGGGCTGTGTTAATAAAGGCGGTTCCACGGGCACTAGGTGAGCTGCACCTCTGAAGGGAATGAAGCCTGATGTCCCAGAGCCTGCTTGGCAAGTCTGTACTTCTCTGCCTTCCCCCATCTGTAAGGTGGGCCTTACCTGTGGACGGCAGGTGCCAGGGGGTATAGGTGTGGTTCTAAGTCACATCCTCCGCATTCAAAAGTCGACAACAACCTCATTTAATACTTGCTGAGTTGTAGGCAAAATACTAAGTACTTTGCAAAAACTGAGTCAATTAATCTGCACAAAAACTCCACGGAAGATTCATTACTGTTATTCACATTTCAGAGATTAAAAACTCAGGGCAAAGATGTGGTGAAATAATGTCTCCTGTGCTAAGCAGCTTCGTGGGAGGCAGAGGCAGGAGCTGAGCCTCGGGCACGTCTGAGGACAAAGCCAGCTGTGCTGATGCCACCACCACACCCTGTGCACTCAGGAGGCTCCGCCTCCACCTCTTACACTAGGGCTGCCTTCTTCCCTACCCACTTGATAGTTCAGGCCTTGGCTTCTCATCTACCTCTCCAGCTCCCTAGCGCATTCCCTTATGCAAAAGTGGTGAGTTCTTCAGGAAAAAAAAAAATGTGTCTGGAAAATCAATCACAGTAATCTACCTCTCTGAGGGAAACGCTGAGGACAAAAAGAGAAAAAAATGATCACCTCTATAAAAGATCTCACGTTTCCATTTTCCCTATGTGGCACAAGCGATTATTATAATATTTCATTCTCTGTGCAGAAATCTCCAACGTACTTGTTTTATAAAACAGCTCGTGAATTGAATTGCTTGGGGCTTATTCTGCAATTCTTAAAATACGCAGCCTACAGGTCCCTGAGGCTGGCGCCTCATTGCATTTTCCTAGCACTTGCAGTTACAGAAACTGCTTGGAGCTCCAGTTTTGCGCTCTGGCCCATCGCGCCCGCTTGTCTGCTAAGTGCATACGGAAGTACGCTGGCTAAACAAGTCTAATAGCTTTCCTTGAATTTATGAGCAGAAGCCTAATCCAAAGGCGTAAGAGGAGTCCGCTGAGCCTTCAACTTTATTTTGTCTGCCATCCGCAGAAGGCGTGATGAGGCAAACGTAAAGCACCAAGGTGCACTGGCAGAGCAGGGGGGACACCCACTTTTAGCTCACAGCTGGAACCCAGGCAGTTAGAGCCTGTAGACTCACACCTGTATACCTCCATTCACTGCAGAGAAGAAAAGAGAACTTCAAGGAGTGTCAGAACCAAAAGAAAAATCATTAGTCTGGTTCTGGTTGTTTTCATGAAAGTGAGAGGTTCCTGGTAGGAGATGGATGGAATGTGTGCACATGTACATGTGTGTACATGTAGGTATGGGGGTGTGCATACATGTACACATGTGTACATGTAGGTATGGGGTGTGTGCATAGATGCATGCTGTATGTGGATATGTACACGTGTTTGTGTGTGCATTTGTGCTTATGTATACATGAGTGTACATGGCTGTGTGCATTTGTGTTTGCATGTGTATATATATGTGCATATATGTGTATATGTGCATGTGTGTATATAGGTGTGTGTATGTTTTTGTATGTGTGATTATCTGCATAAATGTATACGAATGTGTGCATGTGTGTGGGGGTGGTGTGTGCATGTATGTGTCTGCATGCATGCGTGCATGTGTATGTACATGAGTCTATGTGTGTGTATATTTGTGTGTGAGTGTATGTATGCCCATGTGTGTGAATGTGGATCTACATGTGTGTGTGCATGTGTGTGCATGTATGTGTGTATATGCATGAGTGTAGGTAGGTGTGTGCGTGTGTTTGTGTACGTGTGTATATGTGCATGTGTGTATATGGGTATATACATTTGTATGTTCATGAGTGTATATGGGTATATACATGTGTCTGTGCATGTATGTGTATGTGCATGAGCATATGTGTGTATGCATATGTATGTGGGTGTGTGCATGTGTGTGTTTGTGTATGTGTGTACAGGAGTATATGTGTGTGTGTGGGCAAGGTGAAGATGTGAGAAGGTCTCTCCACTTCAACATCAAATAATAAATAACACCCGGTATCTGCTGCATACTCCTTATGGGCCAATCATGATTCTCAGAGCACCTTTACAAATCTAATCATCATAACTATTCCATGAGGCTTGTGCTATTAAAATAAGAATATTCAGGCCCAGAACGGCTAGGTGAGGTGCTTGAGGTCATGATTCCTGCACCTTAGAGCTGGGGTTTGGTCTTGAAGCCCACACTCTTAACCTCTCTACTTTTCAGCGAATTTAGATGTCCATTTTCTGCTTAAGACTTATTTTCCGTGAAGTGTTCTGCTTTAAAAAGCTTAAAACCTCCAATGCAGTCCATCTCTCCTTTTTGCACATAGGAAAGTTGTGACAGAGCTCTGGAATGATCAGAACTATCTTATCTGGCTAATCAGCACAGAGCTTGAACTGGAACTAGGATCCAAAGCCCCTTCACACAGCTTTCTTTCACTGCGTTGTGGAGCCTCACAGGGGAGTGCACAGGCATTGGCACTGCCGCCAGAGGCTCCCGCAGAGCAGCTAACACGTCGGTGGCAGAGCCATTAACAACTCAGGTGCCTTTCACTCTGCTCCACGCGGAGGGAGCATGGGCTTCTAAAAGCCGTGCTTTATCTATTTTGCCATTCACATAGAGAGTCCTTCTTTGTAGTGTTTAATACCTAGGCTATCTTTGTAAAAAGTACTTCCCATATACATGTTTAAGTTTGAGGGCGGAGATCTCTTTAGAATCATGAGCCAGCTGAAATTTCTGTCGGAGGGCTTTTACTCTTTAGGTAGAGCAGCTCATGGCAGTAGCTAAGTGCTTGTCTGCTAGAACCTCAAAAAGGAGGTGGTGAGGACGTGGACTTGTGGGTCTGGGAGGTTGGAAGGAAGCTGAAGCCATGTGGAGAACTGAGAGCAATCCTGGGCTGGTCGTCTGCTTGGGAAAACTCTGACAAATCTTAGGGTTTCTTGAGTTTAAAAAAATAAAAATAAAAAATGTCTACTGCTGTGCCCAGCACTCAGCAAAATCGTTTCCTGAAGAAGGAGGTTGAGCTGGTGCTTAACCAGTTTCTTAAATTTTCTAATGTCTAATGAAAATATAATGAATCTTCCTTAGTTATATTAAACTACTTTAAAATTTGATTAAATTTTAACAAATAATGCTAAAGATTCTAAAAACAACTGAAATGTGTTTAATGATATCTGAACATAACAATCAATAAACAATACCTCAAACATGAAGGTGTCAACTTCTTCTCGAATATCCTCATGACTTAGCCTGTTCCCTTCATCATCAGTCACACTTAAAAGCAAGTCAAGAAAAGCCCTGCGTTTGTTTTTGGAGGGGGCAGAGCCCCTACCATCACCTCTGCATTCGCCATCTGCCGTTATTTCATTGGCCCGTTCAGCGATGACCTGTATCATTTGAATGATAATCACATGCGTCAGTTTGGACTTGGATGTGCCTAGTCATGCATCTTCTTATAAAATATGCGAGTTTCTTTCATTTATTTTTTCTGAACCTTTCTATTTCAACATTTTGACAACATAGGCTCTTGTGAAAATACGGTAAAGGCTCTTATTAATATTTCAGGCATTATTTGGTGAAACTTTTAAAAACAAATTTAATTTCAAGCAAAATCCTAACTTTCCAGTGCTATTTTCGCAGTCTTTCCAACACAAGAATAGAATCATAGTCTACTAGATAGTACTCTAGAGATTTCATGGAGCTAATGAGAAAACGTTTAAGGGGTAGAGAGAATGCAGTCACTATACAATCGTCTATTACAGGCTCCTAATTACATGTCATGGGGAGAACAGAAGCAAGTGGATGAGTCACCTCAGCCTCTACGCCTGCGAGTTCCACTGCCTGAATGCTCTCCTCAGCGGCCTGCACGGCCGACTCCCTCCCTTCTTCCCGACCTCTGCTCACTGCCACACGATCACAGACACCTCCCTCTTCCCTGCCACCCGTCCCTAGCACTGCAATGCTTCCTAACGCTGCCTTCTTTTTCTCCGTTTTCCTTACCACCTGACATTATGTGA